GCGGCGTTTACAGCAGCACTGATTCTTGTCGGTCTCGATGTCTTCTGCGTTGATGCTTCGAACGTTGATTCTGCGATACCCCAGGCCGATAGGCTTACTTTAGCCGTCTTATTAGAGGTCTTGTTGTTGTATGCCACCCCTGTTTCGAAGCACGAGATTTTCGGATGTTAACACGCGCCCGGCTGGCCGGTTGGATACCTTTCGCTCGGGTTGGGCGGGGGGGGGGGGCGTCGATTTGACCCCTCAAGATCTCAGGAGCCAAGAGAGCTAGAGACACCAAATTCACAGGGTGTGTTGGCCTGTACCTGAACCCACTTAGGCTATAGTTTGAGGTTCCTAGGTCATGACCTTTGGATCAAATAAGGTTAAACAAATTCGAACTCCTGGCTAGTCCCCAAAGTGCCTCCAGAAACTAGATACCTGTTGTAAGTAAAGGGTCGCATGCTCGTTTAAGGTTAGTGACTTCGTTTGACCTTTTGAAGGTCATGGTGACCGAAATTGGACAAGACTGCTCTGAGGCTGCGTTTGAATAAGCAACAAGGATTACGCTGGGCAGTACACTCCTAACAACAAAATGTTGACCTGTGTCATTTTAGGTCAGTGACTTATTCTGACCGTGATAAATCCATGGAGTATGTATGATGCCGTTCCTGTTGTCAATAAATTCCAATTGGACACCAGTAACTACCTCATTAATCAAGCCTCAAGGCAATAAAGCACGATGATTTTGACCTAGGTCTGACCTTCATACCTGACCTTGGGCCAATGGAATTTGTTTATTCAGTTGTGTTGTCTAGGAGAATATCTCAGATATGTATGACTTCGTCTAACACTCCTTTGTTGCATGAGATCAAACGGTTCCTAAGAAACTGACTTCGCTGAATCTATGGCCTGACTTTGACGAACTGTAGCTCAGCGATCTTACAAGGTACGTTTGAATGTTCGGTACCAAACAATCTGCTATTCAATTGTCTACAGTTATGCGCGCCGTCCGGGAGCCATTCCGGAAAAAAACAACATTCGGGGGTGACAAATTACCCCCACCCGAGCGCGTGTTAAGAAAGCGGTCCCAAATGACATTTCAGTCTGTCAAAGAACGCTGTCTCACGTTCCATTAAGCCCTTAATTAATTATCGGGCCGCTGTTGTGAAATGGTACGAGTTCTTTCGCTGCTGGGATTATGTTTGGCTTACGCTCGTGTTTGGTTTAACTACAATAGAGGATCAGCATTGTGCGAAGCGCAGTTTGTAGCATGATGGTGACAATTGCGATTGTTGGAAGGTATGATTTGATTTTGGAGTAGGTCACGTTCTGATGCTCTAATAGTCTTGCGCTTTGATTACTCGTAGAACGCTTTTTCAAAATTTATGCAGCTTATTATCTGTACTCAGTTCACTTATAGCTGACCCAGTTTGTTGTTGCTTCCGGTCGTCCTGCTCGAAACATTGCTAGTCCACTAAGGCCCCGGTTACGTCAGCCGGTTCATGCGCGCACCTCGGAGCACCCCGGAGCACCCCGGAGCACCCCGGAGCGCTCGACCGAACAGCGCCCCGGAATGAGTATTGGCACCTTTAAGATGACATGTTTTAATTCTGGTCGAATTGGTTCGGACCCGGAGTCGTTACGGCGGACGGGTTGTCATTCGCACGTCTGAACGTTGGTCGTGCGGGCGCACGGTATGCATGGTATGTGAGAGGATAATTAACCAATCTGTCTACTCCGTTCGACAGCGCGCTGCCATGTGCACATAAGAACGGGTGTGCGTGCCGGTGCAGCTGGATGCTGGTGCCGGCACAAGTAGTTCTGTCTCGTTTAACTACGACTTTCGGTTGCCGAAAGCCCAGTGGCACGTCTGGATATCCGCCGCTCGGGGGGGGGGGGGGGGAGGGGGACTGGCGGTGCGGACTCGGGACCTCAGTGTCAGTGCACAGTCGGCGGCTGGCCAGCAAACAGCGCGGCATTTGGTACCGAGGAAAACGGGCAATTTTGCGGTAACCTACGTTGGGTTGATCGCGACCAAAGTGTTATGAATTTCGCAAACATTCGGCGTGGATATTAATCCCCGTGAACTGAGCCTTTCGGCTGTCAATTTCATGGCCGCAGAATGCCTATCTTAATCGTCAACGTTTTGCAGTTGATATTGTGTTTCAACCATGCGACATTGATCTTTTCCCAGTTGATTGCTGGCGTGGCTATGGCTCTACCAGTGATTGGCTGGCCGTGTGATGTGTAGACGGCAGGTGTGCCCGCACGGTGCGGCTGGTAAAACTGTCGACCCCGTCGTTTGTGCACGAGCGCACGTGCTCGGCCGTCCGCGCCGGTTGACATTTGGCTACACTTTTACCCGTTCTTTTCCGAGTCGACATGTGTTGTTCTCGTTACGCTGTGGCTCGCCATTGGCGCGGTATGAACCAGATTTCGATTGGCGTTTCAGCAATCTTTGGCATCCTGCGAATGTTGTGCTCCATGTTGATCGAGCAGCAGGCGTCGACGTCGCCCCGCTGGTCGGATCGGGTCCCAAGTGTAACCTAGTGGCGCGACCCTGCTGACCCAGCCGCACGCGACGCCGCACGTGAGCGGCTACCATTTGCACCTGGCCGGGACCCCGTGTGTGCATGACGGATGAGCTGGCGTGGCGAACGCTATAATGTTAGGCGATACTGTTGTCTCGAAACATTGTAGAACAAGCCGAAGGCAATCGAATGGTCAGTCGAAGCGACGGTCACGCGTCTCCACGCATTCGTGTTTGAAAGGATCACCATCATCTGACCGTGTGCTCGGTTGGCGGAGGACAGCACACATTCTGCTGTGAAATTACAGTCGCCCAGGTTCCGGTCAGTTGGCGGGTAGTGTAACCAGGCTCATTCATCTCGCCAGACGTGAATGCGCTGCCTCTGAGCCCGACGTTGCGAAAGCCTGGCCCAGCTCTTGACAGCCGGCCGAAGAAAGGCTGGGCGGCGGCGTGTGAGCCCCCCGCGCGGCCCGGTCCTGTCCTGTCGGGCCGCGCGGCCCGGTCCTCCCCTGTGGGCCGCGCGCAGCCATTGAGTCCGCTGGCTGCACGTGGCGGCGGCGACCCCGTCCGGCCGGCCCAGTTCCAGACAAAAGGCGCCGCCGACGGGACGGCGCACTGGCCGCCGGGGTGGGGGTCGGGCAAAAAATCGGTCGGCGCGCGCCCTCGCGCCGCGCCACAAAAACGCGCCGTCGCCGGTGTGTGCCGGCCGGCCGGTCGGCGGCGCGCCGGCGCCGGTGGCCTTGGCGCCAGTGAAAGTACCGCAGCGCGCCCTTTGTGCGGCCGACGGCGGCCGGCCGGGCCAGGCGGCGGCAGCTGGCGAGTATGGAGGCCCTCCGGCGGCGGCCGACTCTCGGCACTGCCGCCGCCTCCTCCGCGCGGCTCCGGCCTGCGCGGCGGGTGGACGCCGAGCTGTCGCTGGCGACGGCCAGGGTCTCGCTACGCTCCATGCCCTCCGACCCGTATCGACGCGTGCGGACGCAGACGCGGGCAATGAGGCCGCAGGGCGGGCGGGGCGTCCGCAGGCCAGAGCGGGGGCGAACCGGCCTGCAGGTCGCGGCGCCGCGAGGCGGCGGGCCGGCCTGGCCGGGTGTGGGCCAGCGGACGGCGCGCCGTTGCGACACCCGCACAGGACACGGCCGTCGGCTGCGGCCACCCTTTCTCGGCAGGGGCGCACTTGCGACACGCCGCTCGGCGACCGTGGCGACCTTGTTTCGCTAATGGCCGTCCTTTCAGCCTCGCTTCGGCCCGGGTCAACTCGGAGGTGCTCGGCGGGCTCATCGGGAGACCCTTTCGTGGTGTGGGAAAGTTTGGGTGAGCATTTTGTGCGCTTTCCGTCATTCAGGGGAGTTGTGTTGATACACGTGGGGCAAAAGTCAGACTGATCCCCGAGGGAGAATGTTGCCCTCTGTTTTCCAATGTGCGGCCAACATAAACGTTGGTTCGATGTTTCATGGACTTAATCGTGTTCTTCAATATGCCCGTCGCTCGGTATTTACTTTTCTTCATTTTCTGCCCCGGCAAGGTGGATGGTGGATTGTAACCAGTTTTAGGCGGCTGGTATCGGCGGGCGTCATTGCGAAAGCAAACGCTGTTTCGCAATGCAAAGTTGCTGAATTCGGCGACTGTCAACACGGGAAAATGACGAAAGCCGGCTGGATGGGCGGTTATCGGCTGGTGCGGTCGGCAGCTGTGCTGATCCCGGTCAGGGCCGGCCGATTGACCCACGTGGCCGATCCGCGAGCGCGGGGCGCCGCTCCAGCCGCGCTCAAACGCTGGAGGTGCAGGTGATCGGCCTGACCCCGAGCCACGGGGCCCGCTGTGTGCGGCCAAACAGCTGTGGCCGCTCGCAAGGGCTTGTCTTTCTCTTGGCCGCCCGGTAATGTGTCCCGCATCGTTTCGACAGCCTGTCGTATCGTGCGCTCGGGGGCGTCAGGTGGTGTCTGTGGAACTTGGAAACGAAATCGCGCAGCGTAAGCGAATCTTTGGCACGTGCTTGTCGGTATTTGAAAAAGACTCCTAATGATAATGCAATCCCAACTGCACTGGACGCTCACAATCTAGTCCCGGTCAACCCGAAGTAAAAGTGTTTCCCGCAATTGACCGTGGTTGTAAAACTCGGCAAAGAGAGAGGGGGCGAGTCCAATCGGCTGGTTTCCCGTTTCCAACGCAAACAGTGAGTGACTTTGGCCTCGTGCTGTGCAGCTTGCGCTTGCCGCCGCGTCCTTTCACTAAGGCGCTCATGCAGCTGGCAGGCTTTGGTCGAGGAAGTGCTTGGACCCTGCGCGAGTCGGGGAAAAGGTGTTAGCAAACCCGAAGGCACCAGGAAAGTCGAATCTTGATGCGATGCTCCGGCGTGAATTACGTGGACGGGATACACGGCGCCATCTATGCGCGCCGCCCACAACCACAACTGTGCACAGCCGCCGCTGTCAGCAGCACCGTCGCTCCCAGCCCGCGCCTTGTGTAACACCATCACATCTGTCGCCAGGTGGAGGACCAGATGAAGCTTCTGCAGGCCACGTGGTCGGTGATCATGATCCTAGATCACATCCACCAGCGACTGCACAACAATCTGCCTGACAGCACAACGCTGCCCAACGGGCAGAAGTTTGACCTGCTGACGCTCAGCCTGTTCGGCATGACCGAGCTGGTGCCGCAGCTCAACGACGTGACGGCGCGGCTGCAGGAGCTCAGCTTCGACGTCAGCGACTACATCTGCCTCAAGTTCGTCCTTCTGCTAGACCCCAGTGAGTGTTGGCGGGAACGGCAGGGGCAGGCGTGCGCAGACCGCGGGCAGGGTGTGTTCGGTTAACGGAGGGCCGTAACCGGACCCAGTAGCTTTAGTTGTGGTCCCCACCGTGGTGGTGCCCACTGCTGGCCAATAGGCTATTCCCGCTTGGACTGTCAACAGCCGCAGTTCCCTCAGCTGCTCAGACTTGCCTGTTTATCTGGACACCGCACCGTGCCCCGGGAGGAGTTCTCCACGGCGCCGGTGTGTGGCCGATGTCGGCATGAATGGGCGTGTGGGTGGGTGGCTGTGCGCGCACGCGGACGGGCGTTGGGTGGTGGCGCCCAGCCCCGCCGGCCCTCGCACCCTAGCCAGCGCCGCTGCTGGGGCCACGCTGACGCGCCGCCCGCGCGCTCCGCCAGACATGCAGACGCTGGGCAACCGGCGGCATGTGCAGCAGGCGCAGGACCAGGTGAAGCAGGCCCACATGGACTACTGCAGCACCGTCCACACGGACATACAGGTGGGGCCGCCGACCGGACGGCGCCGATGAGCCTGGCTTGGGCCGGGCGCGCCAGCTGGGGGTGGGGCCGAGACCTGACCGGCTTCCCACGAGCTGTGGCCGTGCGCCAGTCGAGGGGACGGGCTCCCCGTGACAAGCCTCGCCGGTCCAGCTGCGAGTGAGGGCACGCTCGGCGCGTCGCTCTCTCGCGTACAAAGCTTTTCGGCGCCGATGTGGGCCAAGCCGAGCTGCGTGTGTCGAAGCGTCCGTCGCCCCCGCGTGCTACCGGGAGCTGCGGCCTGTGCGTGCGCGCATGTGTGCGTGTGTTTTCGTGTGTGTGCGTGTGTGCTTCAGCTGACCGTCGTGGCGCGCGCGGGCCGACCGTCCGCTGCAGGGCAAGTATCAGCGTCTGATGGCGCTGCTGCCGGAGCTGCGGGAGCTGGCGCTGCGCGGCGAGGACTACCTGTACCAGAAGCATGACACCAACAGCGCCACCTCGCTCCTCATCGAGATGCTGCACGCTCGCAGGCGTGAGTGAGCCGGGCAGCCGCCCTTCTCACGGCGCTGACCGCCGTCGCACGGCATGGAGGGGGCTCAAGGGGGCTCAAGCCCAGGCACCGCTGATGAAGGGTTCTTCCGGTGTTTATTCCGGATGGTTGTATTTGGACCAGAAAGGGTCTGGAATGACCGTCTGTGTTGGAAGTGTATGATATGGGACGTCAGCACTTCAGAAAATTTGTGGTGGAGCACTAGAATAGTGGTCCACTCCCGCCCCTTGCAGGTCCTGCTTTGCTCCTGGTCCGGGTTGTGGCTATAGCCCGTCAGGCTGCTCATGAGTTACGCACAGTCGGTAGCTCTCTAACGCACAGTACGCTGTCTGACCGGATGTAGATGTAGATCCATGCTGTCATACTTTTGGCTCCTCGGTGGCCCCCGCACATTACCTAGAAGCGCCGATGATGGGTTGACGTCTGTCCGGCTCGATGCTGATTGGTCTATCTTGAGTGAGGAGGAGGGCAACTGGTATTGATCCCCGAGCCAGAGGTGTGATGACACGAGCAGTCTACATAGAAATCGCTGCCACCCGAATCGGCCACACATTGTCGAGCGTTGGTGGACTGTGGCCTGCCGGTGCGGACGGGGGCGGCGGCGCTGACTGCCGGTCCGTGCGCTGTTGGCGGCGCCGCGCCGGTGACTTGTGCGTGACCGGCCGCCTGTCAGTTCTAGGGCGAGTGCCAGCGCAGTGAACCGGGCCGGGCCGGGCCGGCGGCGGCGGAGCGGCCGGCCGCCGGCGCCTCTCGGGCCCGATATTACCAGTACAAACGCCGAGGCCGCATCATCATCCCTACGCTGGCGCCGCCTGGCGGCCGCCGCGCCCACCGACGGTGCGCCGGCCGCCCGCCAGGGACGGACGCCATCATTGTGAGCATTGGCGGGCGGGTGTGTCAGTGAGTGAGCGCGTGAGAGTGGGGAGGCGGGGCGCGGCCGCCGCGGTGCGATTTCGGCAGAGACAGGACTCGGTGGACGTCGCGCCTCGCAGCACACACTGCCCTTCCTCTGCTGTCACCGGCTCCTGCTCCTCTCTCCGTCTCACTCTTCCGCCCGACGCTAGTCTGCGCGCCCTTCTCACTTGCTGTATCTGTGGTTGTGTGCCCGTGGTGAGAGCACGCTGTGAAGGGGTTATTTTTGGTACACTCTATGCGGCTGCGTTGTTGAGATGGGTCGGGCCGCTTGGCCCAACTGCGATTGAGTAGTTAGCTGTTGCGCGATGTCACAAAGACTGGCACAGTCGTTAACAGCGTTTCTGGAGTGGTGTGACGTTAGGCGCGGACGAAGGCTCTGTATGGTGTGTGCGCAGGCGTGTTCGGTATGCACAAGGCGTTAGCTGTTCGGGCGCTGTACGTAACATGGGCCGACGTACCTGAGACCGTTACAGAAATCTGTATTTTGCTACATGAAGTGATTTAAGCCGGCGTCGGCTGGACGGCGATCAGAAGCGTGTTTTATTTCTGGCACGTGCGGCGGCGGCGGCGGCGTGCCGCCTGGTGTGGCTGAGTGGGGCGGTGCGCGGCGGCCCCGGCTCGAGCGCGCCGCCCCCGCCCGTCTGGCCGGCGACGGCGACCGGTGCGCGTCCTCCCGACGGACCTCTTTTGTTACCATATTGTTATAAATTATGGAGGCGGCGGGTGGGAGCGAGTGAGGCGGTCGGGCGCCAGCGCCGGCGCCCCGCGCGCGCGCGCGTCGCCAGCCCGCGTGACCGACCACCGGTGTGCAGTAGTGGGGAGTAGGCTTTTGACTGCGCTGTCGCTCTGTCTGCCTCTATGGCGAAAACGGGGACATTCCGGGAATAGGGCATTAAGATGTGTACTGTGCACGTGCCTGCTGTCGAGGTTCGCCTCCCGTAGCCGTGTGTCCGTGTCGTGTGCATGGCTGAGCGTGCCTGAGCGTGAATGGGGGGTACGCGGTTCAACCGCGTGCCTTTTAGAGCCGTGCGCGTGCTGGTGTGCGAGTGCTGTCCGGTTCGCTGGCGTGGCTTGCGAACCAAGAGTGGGGTGAGAATAAAATATTGTGGTGAGCCTCATGTCTTCCTGGAGTGGATCGTGTGCGGCCAGCTGTTTCGGCGTTTCCGGGCTCTAGGATTCTGACCTTTTCCCGCTTGCTCATGGTAGCGCTAGGCATCATGCATCCATTAGTGTTTAGCAGTCGTGTTTGACATCGCACTAGTCATGTGGTTATTTT